ATGTGAAGTACCTGCGTTGCTTCCAAAAAGCGCATAGGACCGAAAGTGCCAGCTTACCATTGGTGAGTTCTCTTGCAGTCTCTTTGGGTTAGCAGATTCAGCTAGTACCTGCCAAGATGACTGCCGCACTCTGCACCGAATCATGCCGCCGCGCTCTCTGCTTCATCCTTCCCGGCGCCGTCATCGTGGACTTCTACTCAGCGGCAGGACTGGACAGGGAGATGCTGGAGATGGACCCTACCACAAACGTGCCGTCCAGCACTTTGCTCCCCATCCTCCAGCTCAGGGACGAGATACACGCGATGGCTGGCCTCTGGGCCCACAGTCGTCCCTTTGACGGCATTGCAATCTTCGATCAACGATACTGTGACGTCGACTAGACCGGCAAGGGGCATGTCCGACTCGCGGTCCTACACCCCGATCTACTGCTGGCCATGACCATGGCGACCGTCAGCAGAGCTTGGTACCAAGCCGCGCTTCCCCTGGTCCAGTACAAGCCTTTTATTAGCAGCTGGCGCACGGCCAGGGCAGCAATGATACTTGAGATACAGGCCATGGTACAGTCCTTTGACACACCCCAGCGGTACCTCGCGACTGAGGAGATCATCATCCATATTGAGCATCGCCATCATGTCGTGGTGCAGACGATTATCAACCCCCTCGGCCCTTTCGGGTACGCTGATGCAGCCGACAGGGATGATGAGGTTCACTGGGCCCACTCCGTCTACAACTACGGCTATCTCCCCTGAGATTTGATTGTGGCCGATGGCTAATGACATCTATCTCATGCTAGGAATATGGCACAGCCTCCCTTCAAGCGTGGCGCAGCCACTCGTCTTGCTTTTGCACCAACAGAGCAAGGCTACCCGCCTGTCGGGAGAAAACTCGCGGCACCTAGCTGCCAAGCCTGTGTGGCCAATCACTGCTGCCTTGGTTGCCTCACTTCAGTTTACCCTGCACCCTGAGGTCCATGGCGACACGCCTCGGCATTCGGAATAGCTCGAGTGCCCTCTGCTGTTGTTTCTCTGTCAGACAGGAAGTGACGCTCCCTGCTTTGTAGCTAGCCATGTGTCATCGGCAACGTTGCTTTTGTACACCGCAGCCGTCAGAAGCAACTGCTCACACCTGCCGGCATCGAAACTTATTTGTTTTCCCATCTAGGTCCCATCTTTCTCTTCACACGTATGACAGACTTTGCAGATGGAACATGACGTGCCCCTGGACAGTATTGGAAACTTAGGCAGAGAGCACAGCTCACCCTGGCCGTGTGTCACAGACTCTGGCCCAGCAGCCCTACGGCTGCGACCATGGACTCCCCTCCTAGCTTGGGGCCATTCCTGGTGCTTAGCGACAGCACCTTGCAGCACATGCTACGGGGACATACATATGGAGTATTCCCCCTGCTGACGGGGCAGATCTTAAGTTGTCCGGGCGCCGCCCTCAACATCTCGGCAAGCAGCGTCCCCTCCATCCTGGAACTACTTCACTGGCAATTTGGGCTCTTTGGACCACTCCGATTCAGTGCAGCGGTCCAGAGTCAGGCGGTGGCCTCCATTTTGGAGCACCATCTCAATGGGCAAATCAATGTACGCTTCATTCCTTTGTCTCGAAGCTTACGCCCTGAGAAGCAGATCAATTATGATTACCTGATAGACGGTAGAGTCCAGTACGGCTTTGCGGACAAAAACCTGCCTCATCAGGAAATCATGGATTTGGCACAGCTACCTGGGGTAGGTGGCGTGGAACAACTCTACAACACCCGAAACCTCCATTTCAGACCGGAGGTGGCGGACATCGTTATCCCAGCGCTCGTCACAAGAGCCATCGAGGAAATGCGCCACAGACCAGGCCTACCCATCCTCGTGATTGCAGGATGGAATGCCCGCCAGCAAGACATGCATGTCGAAATGCTGGCAGCCCAGGCACTGTCCCAGTGCCGCACAGTACGCGACCTCTCTGAAGTGGCCATGCAGTACGGACATGGGCCCTGGGGCATGCGCTTTTTGCATCTCCCAGAGCTGGCAGAAACTCCTGTCCCGCCGATTCTATTTCAGACCTATGTACACGACGAAAAGCCTGAGCCTGCGCAAGTTGCGGCCAAGATGTTCGCGGGCTTTACCCGCGAATTCTGCGATGACGGAGTTGGTGAGACCTCCAAGAATGACTGGCCACCAGAATGTTGATGGAAGCCAGTGCTCGAATCCAGTCCTGGTGAGATTGGGAGCTCAGCATTTGAGCGAGCTCCAACCTTGGGGAGATGAGGGGAACCGGGGAGGCTGGGATAGCAGGAGGGGGAGCCGGCGACGTGGGCAAAGAGGAGCTGGCGGGGGGGTGGAGGCTAGAGAGAGACGCCGTGCCTGGTGGGCCCTTAGCCGGAAGGGCGGGGGTCACCACCTGCTTTGGCCTGGCTCTCCTTGAAGGCCGCTTTCTCTGCCGCTGTGGAGGTAAAGGTAAAAGGGCAGGGAGGCGGCTTTGACAATCCCTTTGGTGCGGGTGCGGCTGGGAGGGAGAGGGATCTCCTGCGGTGGCGCTGGCTTGGGAGGCGGAGGTGGGTAAGGCGCAGGGGCAGTGGCTGCCCGAACTCCTTGTGCAGCAGGCTGTGGCACAGGGTCATGCTTCTGCGTGACAAAGTGGTTCTTGATGCCGTGGCCAGTGCTGAACTGAACATTGCGGTTATGCTTTCGACAGTGGAGGCAACATAACCACATTGCTCCTGAGACCTCCATTTGGCCTAGTCCGCGAGGGATAAGTTCCAGCACATCCTGCTCCGTGAGGTCTTGATTGTAGTAGTGGGTGTCGCGGACGGTGGCCATAATCTTCGCAAAGGAGTTGTTCTGGATGCTGTCTGCCACATACGTTTCGATCTCCTCCTGTGTGGGAGGAGGAGGAGCCGCAGTGGCCTTTGCCGTGGTCTGTGACCTAGGCGGCTGGGTGGAGCTGTGCTCTATGGGCCTAGTGTCGACCTGGATTTCCAGAGAAATATCTGGAACTTGGCTTTGCAGCATGCGATCCGTTCGCTCCTTTGTGGTGGGATCTCCCTGGAATCCCTTCTGCCATTTCCAGCATCTGGTGTAGGCGACCGTGGTGCGATTGGCTGACACGAAGAAATGGCCGTCGTTGTCATAGGTTTTGTTCTTCACGCGCCTGTCCCAGCGCTCCTGCAGCAAGTAGACAGGGCCGAACTTGGCGGAGACGTTCCAGCCAGGTTGGGGGGAATGGCCAAGATCCCGGCCCAAGATCTGCCAGAGAAACTTGCAGAAGGTCATATAGTCCAGATTGGCCTTTGCCGTCAGAACCTGACGGCTGAAAGCGTGCTGTATGGCCTCCCTCATCAAAGGATGGCGGGGCTTGCCATAGATGATGCCCTGAAAAATATGGTCTGCTTTGACTCCTATGGCCATGACCATGAACTCCTGTGGGAGTTGGCTAGGTGGGGAGGGTCTGTGACCCACTTCACCTGCCCTGTGTGAGTGAGCTGTGCTCCAATCTGCTGCCATAAGTTGCAGTACCTGCTCCCTTGGTACCACAAAGCCACATTTGATATCCACATATAGGCCTCCGCGCTGATAGTGGTAAACGTAGCGGAAAACGTCAGCCCGATGAGCTGGCTGATTGAGGCGGTCCAGCAGATTGGAGCCATATTTCCCTGCAAGTTTCACCAGGGTGGCACGGAGAACCAGGAGCAACAGAACCTCTGGTCCACACGGGTGGAGGCTCTCAGCCAGGTGCCTCCGCTTTTCTCAGCCATCAAGTTGGTAAAGACTCAGTCCGGCCTCACCTGGGATACTGCCATGTCTGTGCGCAGAGTCCTTACCAGCGACGGACGAGTCACCATTGCCACAGGCTCTGGAGAAGCCTACCAGGAGCTGGACGCCCCCACAAAGGTGCATGGTCTGATCCATGCATGTTTCAACAGGATGTGGGACGAGAAGGAGTTCCAACGTCACTTCCCAACGCGGATCGAGTTCAACATGATCGCCACTTCTATGATGACGGTCTACAACGAAGCGGCAAAATCCGCTGGGCTCCCAGCCAGGATGTTCAAGGTCAAACCCATGAAAGATGCCCACTCCATCATGAAGATGCGGATTCAGCATGACAAGGGGTTTGAAGAGGACAAGCGTATGGCTCGCTTGGCTGCGGCTGCCGCACCCAATAAGCGCCCGCAGGTGCAGGAGGCCGACACTGAGGGCAAACGCCAACGAGATGCCCCCTCGTCCTCCTCCTCGAGCCAATGGGCAAGACCGGCACGCCCATCTCAGGAGGAAGATTGGGACTGGTGGCAACAGTGATCCTGGCACGGATACTATCAGTCTTCACAGCAGTGGCCACAAGGTCACAAACAGTGAATTTAGGGCAATGTCACAGACTCCTCAAATCCCGTATGGCACAGCCTCTGGGAATTCGGTGCTCTTCCGACGCTTTTGCAAATCTCTTCGGAAGCTGTAGTGCAGAGCGTTAGCCACGGCAAAATACAGGATTCTGCACTTCGACTGAGCTGATCAGGTCAGTCAGCTGTCAGAGTTCGACTCACTCAGCTTTGCAGGTACGCACATGTGACCCTTACGGCCTTCTGTCTCCAGCATGAGTAATCCGTGTGGGACGCCACGAGACGGATACTCAAGGTGCCGGCTTCGCCCGAAGTACGACCTACCTGCTGAGACAGGTGCACAGACGGACGCGTCTGTTCACAACAAGGTGGCGGAGGAGGAAGCCATAGTCGCAACTTTAGTCAACTGAGTAGCTTGAGTAGATTGAGAGGATTGAGCGATGAGTGCTAGCAGCAGTTTCACGAGTGCACGGGACCAAAGGCGCCCGCAAAGCGCAGAGCACGCTCGCGCAGCGTTCAATTGAAAAATAGTAGTAGTAGTAGTAGTAGTAGTAGTAGTAGTAGTAGTAGTAGTAGTAGTAGTAGTAGTAGTAGTAGTAGTAGTAGTAGTAGTAGTGGTAAGTGTTGTGGTGGCCATCAGCCAAGAAGTCTTTGCAGTGTCTTTGCTAAGACCTCCAAGCCGTCCTCCAAAGCTGCAGCGCAGCCGGCGAAGAAGGCCGTGATCTGAGTAAGGTGGGTGGCACGGGCACGAACCGTGAGATCTAAGCAGAGCATGCTTATCGGATGTGGCACTTTGCCACAGCCTTTCCAAGCACATCTCTTCACATGGGAGTTTCCGAAAATCAAGGGTACCTTATTTTGGGGTCCTTACAATAAGGATCCTACTATTCAGGGTACTGTATTAGGGTCCCCTATTTTCGGAAACTCCCACATCTCCTGGAGACGGGCAAGAGCCGAGCCGAGGAACCTGAGAAGGTGGAGAAGAAGGAGAAGGGCGAAAAGGGCGACAAGAAGGCAAAGCCGGCTGTTGCCGCGAGCCTTGCCAGGAAGCAAGTTATAGGTGGGGTTATAAGTAACTACGGCAACTAGGGTAACTGAATTATAGCCCAAGTTGGGGGACTTACATTAGGGTAGTCGGCTTTGCTACTCCGTTGCGATCAAAATCTCGTAAGTTGTATTGCCGAGGAAGAACAAATTTTCTGCGCTGATGGGCGACAGCGACGAGGAGAGCGACGATGAGTAGACTTGCCAGATTCCTGGTGCCTCGAATTGAGCAGGTTCAACGTTGAGCTTGCCTGTCTTGTGCTGTGCATGTGCTGCTAAGGGAAGCGAGGTTTCTGAGCAAATGGATGAATCGAGGTGTCTCCCACAGCCAGTGCTCCATGCCGCCATGTAGGATTGCATTCGCTTGATGTCATGTCCACCATGCATGTTACCCTCGCTCAACTTTCTGATGTGGAGGCTTCAGGGGCTTCGATAGCCCGGTCTTGTCACGCAGCTAACGCAGAAGGCACCGCTTGCCTCAAGCCAGACAGCTGTGAAACAAGGCCATCGGAAAAGAAGAGTGCCGTCGGCAGAAGCTTACCTTGTCATTTGCACAGCAGGCTGAAGGGCGATGGGCACCGTGCATGCGCTGTGAAGCCTCTCTTAGGTGGCAGGCACCTGTTGTCGTCCTACCAGACGGGCCATTAAGCTCAAACTTTGCATCGGGCTCTCGCTTCATGCTTGTCGGAGCTTCCTCCGAAGTCACCGGTTCTAGACCCCGGTGAGGAGATCCACGGCAAGATGGCCAGGGTTTGCGGAGCTTAGCTGTTCTCTGTGCCCGAAGGAGGCCCACGTCCATGCCATATGAGATACCATTCAGCCAGCTTCCTGGACTAGGCAGGGGGAACAGGGTCTTGTGTAGCTCAGGCTTTGTGTCTCGTGTCAGAGTCTTCTGTCAGGCGAGGAGGACTACCCTGGATTTCCAGCACAGGTATGTCCTAATGAGCTGCCAGACCTCTGCAAGCTAGCGCCTCAAAGATAGCCGAAGCAGCGTTCAGGCGGTACGTACCATGCTCCCCAGCTGACTTTCAGGCACAGCAGCCTGTGCGCAGATGTCCTGAAGGCGGATTGCTTCTTCCATTGCTGAGAAACCGCTTAGCCCTGCGCTGCGTGCTAGGACAACCCGGAGATGTATCAGGAGCTCAAAGACCGTCAGACAGCTACAGGCGCAAGAGTGGGGTAATTAGAAACGGGGGTTGCTGCATCCGGTTCCGATGTTGTCCAGGTGTGTCCTTGGCGCGGTGTATAAAGACAGGCATTGGGCGTGTTGCTCTGAACCGTCACCATTAATCCGCTTACTGTATGCCATGAATTTGCAGGCATAGATAATCGGGGACACCCGTGCCTGAAGTCCATCGGCGCCGTGGCTGGCGATGCAGAATGCTACAAAGTCTTTTCGCCCCTCGGCACCCGCAAGTATATAGCAACACTATCCCCTTGTAGCCCCTATTTCAGCCAGGGTATAACATATAAGATAGAGAGTATCATTATGCCACCGAACAATGTTCGCGCCGCTCTAGTAGTCCAGGACTTGACATGAACTTCGCCCTTGTTCCGAGGCCCCTCTTCGAAAAGCTGATCGAGGGGCGGCACGGGAAGGCGGTGGGACCCAGGCCAGTCGTGGCATCTCCGATGTCTCCGTTTCGGGGAGGTGCCGGTGGCTCACATGAAATGCCCTGGCCGCCGAACCCTCACTGCCGAATCGGCAGAGCCGTTGGAGGGCTATGTTGCTTGCCTGCAGACTTGTTGCAAAGTCAGCTGGTAAGTTTGGGGAAGTATGAAATGAAGTGTACTCAGGTGATCTCTTGCAAAGTTGCGGCTTCCAGGCGGGTGCTCATGTTTGCAGGCTGCACCAGAGTATCCGGTCAGGGCCTGTGCCCAAGGAACCTGGATGGGACTCCTTTCCCACCAGCTGCTTCAAGAGATCAGCGACAAGAGGCGGGCCGGGCGGGTTCGTGACTCCAAATGCTGCGGCTTGCTCAGTCCTCAGGTCGAGCACATGATCTCAGGAGCTGCGCTTCAAATGGAAGGCCTTGCCGTGATGCCGGTGAGAGGGCACAGGTGCTTCTAGAAGTTGCGTCGGCTAGGCGCGCTCAAGGGCACCTACTTCCCTCTCGTGGGCTCCTCGTCTTATCCTTCGAAGCCGGACGGTATGACGTTGGAGGAGGAAAAGGCACTCGGCTGCTTCAGTGTTCTGTTTCTGCTCCGCAATTCCAGTTCCAGCCCAACTTGCGCAGATGCTGACTGACGACCACCTTCTCTTTCAGCATCCAGATGCCCCCGCAGTGCTGAGCACTGGATCTGGGCGGCATTGGCCACACGGTCGAGGCAGTTGCATTGGGTCCTGAAGCTGTTCGCTTGTATGGATGTTGTCATCGTGCATCACGAGCACAGACACCAGGTGTCTTCGTCAATGAACGTAAGACCTTGACCTTGTGGATCAACGAAGAGGAGTGTTTCCAGTGAGTCTGGCTACGGGGCGACGTGCGACCTAGTCACGTAGTCGTTGCTTGTTGTTCCACGTGCTGTCCGTGTCTTGTTTCTTTGCAGGAACACCTCAAAGCAACTTCTCAGAGACAGGGCGGTGATGCCCGAGGCTCAGGATGAAATGTCCGCTTGTCGCGAGATGCCGCATGCAAAAGTTGCAGGGGTTTAACATGCCACGTGTCAATCAGGTCCAAGCTGCTTTTAGGGAGCTGTCAGCCGTCGCTTGACTGAGTTTCCAATTTGGGGCTTACATGTCAGCTGCAAACTGTAGCCACCATCCACTGAGGTACTGGCGCATATTTCTGGCAGCCTCGCCGACCGGGCTGGGTTTGCAAAGAGCGATCGCCTGGGCTCGGGCCCTTGCGCATGCGCTTCCCTGCACGAGTGCTGTAGCCTATGTGTCAATGCGTGCTTGACCTGCGTCGGTCGAAGATGGGGCGCCCTTTGAAGATGCAAGCCCTTCAAGGGAGATGGACAGCGCAACGTAGTCTACGCTTTGTAAACTCCTAAACGCCTATATAGATTGGTGCAGAGGGTAGAGGATTTCGGCCCATCTGCTGACACAGGATACCTGACATCGAACCCCGCGAACATTGGCACAGCACTCCGGGCAGAGAGCTCAGCCTCTTTCTTGTACCATTTGGCGTTTTCTTGGTCGGGCTCGGTGAGCTTGGAGTTCGGACAGCAATTAGAGAATCATGACTGGAGAGTAAGGGAAGCCATGTATGTGGACCCTTCAGCCAGCGTAAGCAGTCCTTCTGTCAGGGTGCATGGACTTGAAGTTGCGTCATCTAACCAGTACCCGTTTAGGTCCGACTGGTGGACGGATGAAGCTCTGATGTGTGTGATTGATTGGCCTGTGAGCTTTGCTCAGTTGGGGCGTTCTGGTCCTGTCGATGTTGCGGCTCGAGACCGATAACGCGAACGAGTGTCCTCAGCCGGTAATGCCTACGAAGTTGATGTTAGAGCTGCTATCAGACTGCTGAGGCTATGTCGTATCGTGGACTAGCGGCAGCATGAACCAACACGTCTAACACGTAGCTGAATAACACGTAGCTGAACACCGACAGCACTTGGAGCAATGCAGCCAGCATGCCATACATCCATAGACACGGCCTGTAGAAGTGGCAGTCTGCCATCAATTGGGGCAGTACTTGCCTTAGCCTGGCTTAGATGGCGCCGAAATCAAGTCGCAAGGGCAAGGGATCGCAGAAACTGCCTTTTAACGATGATGCGATTCAGCGCCACGTCTGCAATGATCAAGTCTGCCAATTTCCTGCAGCTTGCAACTTCCCTCAGTGCTTTGTGCTTGGACCCCTTCTGCTTACTATCTAATGCTACTAATACTATTAATACTACTAATACTAATAATACTACTAATACTAATTATACTACCAGTACTACGAACACTTAAGAATACTTGAAACCTCAGGAAGCATTTGGAGGTCAAAAGCCAAAGCCAGGACAGGATGGATGGAGACATCGCGGCTGCACTGTCCCTTAGTAAGTAGGGTTATAAGTACCTTAAATGGGGTTACAAGTAATTATAAGTATAGTTACCTCAATTATAACCCTAGTTACTAAGTCGAGCCCAAAGATCATAGGGCGGCTGCCAGCACGGAGCCCTGCGAGGAGGATCTTGCTGAGGCGGAAAGTGAAATGGACAGGCCAACTTCCGAATGTGACGACCAGGACAGCTGAATTTGCATCTCATGACCCGTTTACAGCAAGTGGAACATCAGGTTGGAACGCTCTGTCAGGATATTCCCGAGGGATTTTCGTCAACGGACGGTTTGCATGAAGAGATTAGGGGCGCCGCAGCTTGGATGAACTAATTCACATGGCTTGCTGCTCCTCACCCATCTTTCGGCAGCTCATGCATAGTCCTTTGAGTTCCCTGACTGTTTGCTGCAGGCACCTGCCAGTGGCGACCTTGGCCGAAGGACCCAAGCAAGCATTGGTCATGTTGACTCTAGAAGCTGCGAGTGCCTCCAGCATCCTTGCGGAGGATCCAAGGAGCCGCAGCTACCATAGGTGGCGCAACAGGTCCGCTGCGATGGGTTGCAGTCTTCTGTTTGGCTCAACTTCCGGGGTTCCATGCCTTCCATCCTGGGTGTTGTTGCCGAGTTTTGGAGGTGCTGGCTCGGTTGGAGGTAATGGCAAAGAATTCTTTGCCTGGGAGAGACCCAGCCCCTCTTAGAACCCCCAACAAGTGGGCGTGCCATTATCTTGGATGTCAAAGTCACTCGGGAGAGCAGCTTCCTTTAATGGTTCTTGTTTGTATTGTACATCTGTATATCTGTGGTTTCTGCTGCTGATTCTGCTCGTGACTGTGTTGTATATACCCCTGTTCTGTTGGTGGTACCAGTTGCCCCGGGTTTGCAACCAGTGCCACTGCTACTGCTACGACGACGAAAACTACTGCTACGCAACCCTAATTGGTGTGCAGGTATGCTTTTGGGTGGCCCCGTGTCGGGCGCACTTCTTGGAGCAGCTGCTTTGTATGCATCCACGCGGGAGGAGACTCGGCTAGACGTTTCAACATAGACACTGTATGTGCATGTGTTTAGATGTACATATACGTGCATATTTGTACAAGGAGGCCCGGATAAATATTAGTGCATAACATGTCTGTTGGTACATATGACTTACGACAACAGATGACATGAAACATGCACCTAATGCTCCGTCCCATACTGTCGAGAAACGAGATGTCGGGTAAAGAGTTCGTAGGGCTGCAGTGTTTCGGGATTAGGGTCCAGAGGTTGCCAAGTGATACGAGTTTTTGCTAATTGTAGTATCTTGACAATTACTATTTCTGCTGCACTAAAAAGAGCAATAGGCATATCGTAACAATAATAACAACAAGTCAGTGGCAATGGCTACCGCTACTGCTAGTGCTTCTGCAAGTGCCAGTGCTTCTGCTACTACTACTACTACTACTACTACTACTGCTACTACTACTACTACCACCACCACTACACCACCACCACTACCACTACCACTACCACTATCACTACTACTACTACCACTACCACTACTACTACTACTACTACTACTACTACTACTACTACTACTACTACTACTACTTCTACTACTACTACTACTACTACGACTACTACTACTACTACTACTACGAACTACTACTACTACTACTACTACTACTACTACTACGACTACTACTACTACTACGACTACGACTACGACTACGACTACTACTACTTCTACTACTTCTACTACTTCTACTACTACTACTACGACGACGTCTACTACTACTACTACTACTACTACTACTACTACTACTACTACTACTACCGAGGACATGTCTGGCTCGGTGGCGAGGAAGGCGGGCTCTCTCTACTTGAAGGCCACCCTGGGCAGTGTCTGTTCCAAGTTCCATTGACGATTGTAGCTGTGGGGGTGGATCATGGTGATGGTGGCGATGATGGCAACTGTGCTGATAACGACTGAAGCCTCCAGCTTGTGGCAGAGTTCAGGTTGCGGATCGAGCCTGCGATGAAGGAGTGCGTGTAATGGACCGGGGTGTTGAAAAGGCAGGTGCCGCCCTTGATCGAGGCGGGAGATCCGAATGCACTGTGTGTCAGGCAGAGCTCGCATGCGAATCGTGCAGCTAGTCGCGGAAGGGCTCCGGGTGATGTGATTTCGTGCCGCGTGCAGGTTGTAAGAGGCTGTCCCAATCCTCGTCGGTTCCAGCTCCCATTCGTGCCGGCTTGCAGCAACTTGCGGGCGACAAACGAGAAGCACCCAGTCGCCTGCTTCGATAAAGTTGAGTGGAATTCTGATTGTTCGTTCCGATGCTTCGGTCACTCTCATGTGGTATGCAAGGTGTGGCACCAGATGAAGCCCGAAAAATCTTGGAGAAGCATCCCGAGACTGAGTTGCATCGCCGGTTGTCTTGCAGGCAGACGGAACACTTCGGACCCGATGTCAAAGAGCTGAGGATCGAATTCCGATTATTTGCTGCTAAGCTTCACTTCGTCAGACTCACACCTGACTGCCTTTGCTAGAACCATCCGAAATCTCGTTGCTCCGAAGTCAGACGGAATCTGCCTTTCATGTTTGTCAGCAAGTGCCGCCTAGCTCAGGTGAACGATCTGCCTTTTCTACCTTGCCGCAAATTTCAAAGCTCCTAAGCGTATTCATGGCACTTGCCGGCATCGGTCCGGCCTGCAGTGCTGGCTGACAGCGCACATGCAGGAGCAAGTTCGCTGTACCTGGCGGTATGCGTGCTGGCGAATTCAAGTACTTGGTTGCGAGGTGGCATTTCAAAGCTCACCCACGCATCTCGCCGCTGTGCTACTCTGCCCGTGCTCAGGTTCAGAAAGAAATAAAAAGAGCAGTGCCTGAAGAAGCTGCAGGTCATCTTGACGAAGAGGCTGGACAGAACAACACGAGTGAGCAGCTGTTCCGCAGGGCCGCAGCCGGAACAAACAATCTACATCTTCATCAATGGAGTGACCCCGCACCTTGAATTTGAAGTCCTTCTGGACACCCTTTACTGGGGGGTTGTGTTAAGTCGTACCGCGCTGTGTGAAGTCATGCCTTGGCGCGTGGACATGGGGATAGGCATATCCTAGCCCTATCGAGTTAATGAGGCAATATTCGCAAGTAGTCATGAAGTTTTGGCTGGTGGTTGCTTCAGATGGGTTTTTGCGCCTGTTCGTGATCTCGTTGTCAGGTTTCTCCCTGCGTGTAGATCGGGATTTAGATCTTCATCGTTCGAAATCGAGCGTCTGCATG